AGAAGTTAGGTGAATTATGGATGGATCACTTAACTTCTTCCGACAGAGCAATATGAAATGTCCTGATAAAGACCTACAACTTTGGCTAACATAATAAATGCTTGTATGTTTATGTTTTAGGTAAAATTATATTTTACTATATAAATAAAGGCTTTATTTTGTAATGAGCAGCATTAACCAGATGGCTTGAAAAAGGCATAATAGCCGAAAGTAGCCACTGTGGGGGAGAAATGACAATAAATGTGGTGAAAAATACACCTTTATTTATTCATATGATACTATATCATTTATTTATCGATATGATGCTATTTATATGATATTATACTATGATAATATACTATATGATACTATCAACTTACTGCTTTATTTATTTAGTATAATAAATACAATTATAATGTATAGTAATATACAGGGTGTCCCGTAAATACAACGAAACATTTAAAAGGTTGATAATAGCCGTCAAGATCTACAAAAATGTACGTATCAACAATTTTTCAATTTCCAGCAGTTAAGTAGGGAATTTAAGATTTGTGTTTTTTTAAGCTAGTCAAGTTTTTTGTTGAATAGGGAGCGATTAACTTAAAAAATATTTGATTAAATTAATTAAACATTGCTCTATCACATTATTTCTCTACATAACTTGAAGTAAATCTCAATTTTTTTCAAAATAAACTTAAAATTAATTAATGTGAACTTAAAGATTATTAAACGAGGAAGTTTTTTCTGTAAGTGGGGTAAATGTAGCACAGTTGAAGGTAGATAAAAAAAAAAAAAATCACAAATAATTTGACTTTTTTTTAAACACTCAGCTGTGTTTGTCCGCTCAAAAATCCGCTTTGAAAAGTTTTGACAACGGCAATCTCTACTGCCTGTTTAAGCAAGTTTTGTCTAGTTTACAATGGAGCAATGTTTAATTACTTTAATAAAATAGTTTTTAAGTTATCGCTTCCTATTCAACAAAAATCGTGATGCGTAAAAAAAAAATCTTTAATTTCCTACTTTTCTGCTGAAAATTGGGTAACCGTTTACATATACATTTTTGTAGATCTTGATGTCTAATATAAATCTGTTAAATATTTCCTTTTACTTACAGGATATCCTGTATATTATAATAGTATTTTGTTAAGTTAGGCAACGTTTCGATTTACGTTGTAGGTCTTCATCAGGGCTCTTCATCTCGCATTGCTGGAAGAAGTAAAGTGATTTATGGATGGATTAATCACCTAACTCCTTCTGCCAGAGCACGATGAAATGCTCTGATGAAGACCTACAACGTTGGCCAAAACGTTAGCTAACATAATAAATACTATTATAATATATAGTATTACATACTGACCGCACCCAGACTAATTTCGCAGATTTTTACGTTTTATGGCTCAAATTATTCGAAGAGATATTTCTTCTATTTCTTTAGAAGTAAGATATTAATCACTTCCAAAAATGAGATCTGCTTCTTGTGGTAGCAAAGACGTTTCGCATCTCAGAAATCGATCAATTGGACATAAATTAAAGGGAACAGAAAGTTCATAATTTTGAAGGGAAATCATGTTTTACTCAATAAATTACTTTTTAAAAGTTCACAATGATTACACGTCCTTCCAAAATCATTAATATTACTGATTACAAAAAGATTCAATATTATTATCTCTATCTTTATCAGAATTCCGAAAGGTTGGTTTGACACAAACAAGCGTAGAATCTTATTAATGATAAGACGATAAACTTTAATCTGTATTTATCTTGGATGCAAACCCGATCACCAACGCTTGCTATAATATCATAGTCGTAGGATGTCAATTAATTATAGTACAATACTATTGTACCTATAGCTGTCATAGTGATACGTAAGTAATGGGAAATATTTAAGAGGAATAGTAAATTTAAAGAGCTACAAATTAATTAACATAAACCATGGTTGAATTTTCTGCAGTAAATTGAAGTTTTCTATATTAAGTAAGCCGCATTATTTGTTTAATAGGAAGTTATAATATAAAAATATTTATTGAAGGAAGCTAGTGGACTGTTCTACATATCATGGGTGATAAATATTCAGGACGCAATCATTATACATTTTTTTTATTTGTGCCAACGTTTCAACCCAAACATGTGGGTCATCTTCAGGGCTGACAATTTTAAAATACAATCAGAGATATAATATTATACGATCAATTATGGTAAATAATAAACTATAGTGATTTATGATACATGAATCGTAACTAGTATTACAATACACAATATTAAAAATGAAATATGTAAAACGTTATACAAACTAACAATAATATGTATGATCTATTTATAAAAAATTGTAATATTTTCTCTTACTAACCATGGTTTAAGCACTGAAGGCTTTCAAGTACTGACACATTTGGTAGGTAAGTGGAAAGGTCGGGGGAGGATTTCCTAGTTTCCTAGATAGCAAAAGGTGGGTAAATATAGTGAGAGGGGAGAAAAGGAAGTAACATTTCTGTTAGTAGAATTTAAATAATTTTATGATAAAATATGATGTTTGGGATGAAACGTTGGCACAAATAAAAAATCTGTATAATGACTGCGTCCTGACTATTTATCACTCATGATATAAAAATATTTAAGATAGATAATTGACAATTGCTTCATAGTAAACAAGATAAAATTTCCTTCAAACGCAAGTATTGTATATGTTTGTTAAAACCATTTTAAGGGAACTTTTAAGAGACAGATCAAAGCTAAGTCCCATTTTTCATATAATCCAGGGATTATTCTATAGTAAATAACTGATAATATCTAATAGCCGACCTTGAACTCATTCATTCGCTTTTGGTTCTTTTTTTTCAATGAGATACCGGAATTTTACATAAATCGATAAATTAAAACATTGATCACCATTTTTTTTTTCTTTTTCTCCCCTTCTTCATCTTTTCGGCTATGCGGGATTTTACCAGGGTCAAAGAAGAGGGCGGAGAAATAACGACAAAATTAAAAACCCCCTTCGCCGCCGAGGTTTTTACTTCGGTTTATCGGGTTGCCGGGTAACGCGTGTTTTAAACACGCATTAATCAGCTGGACCATCTCGCCCCTCAAAACATTGACCACATATAAATATAAATAAAATCATAGAAATGATTATAAAAACTACTAAATTTGTAACTCACGACTCGAAAGAACCATCCAATTTGGGCCACGTATTTTGATTTTATTTTAGTTTTACGAATTCTGCATACATCTATGTTATATTTTATTTAACAATAAATATTATATTAAACAACCAATATTGTGTTGTTAGTTAATTATAAAATGAAATTATACGTTTTAAATAACATGAAATTAAAATAGTTTTGGTGTGTGATCAGTAAATCTAAAACCTTCAACCATCTTTATGCATTACAGTGACAAAAAAACTACATTTTTAATAATACAAGCCGACGTTTCGCCCACAATAATGCGGGTCTTCCTCGAGTAAGTGACAGGAGACCTTTATGACAGGAACTGTGTACTTAACAAGCTCAATTACCCATGATCTCTATATATTAACATTATATATATTACATACTCACTTCGGAACTATAATTTCTCATGAAAATTTTCCTAAAAGTTCCATTAAAGTAATTAATTAAGCTAAAAATTAAATTTTAAAAACCTATTATTGTGGAGTACGTTCTTAACGCACGCATCGTCCGGTAATTTTTTGAACCGCCATTCACAAAATCATCTCTTTAATCTCTGTTTGGTAAAAATCAGAATTTAATTTATTTATGATAAAAGAACAAGAATACATTTTTTTCTGCTCTCATTGTTTCACAAACGTCTGCTGACTATTAAACACATGTCTGTCACCAAATTAACAGGTGGGGGTTCAAAAATAAAATAGAAAAAAAATTATTTTCTGTAAAATACAGATGACGACTTTTCTTCATACGGACGTTGCATGTGTTAATATGGGAATCAAAAAATTCATTCTTCAAGGAATAATAATATTTTCAATTAATACCAAAATACTGATTATTTCTTATTTCGGAAGTAGATGGTCCGGGGTGCTTGTCATAAATAGGCTAAATAGTGGTAAAACTATTTGATTATTAAAAGCCAACGTTTCGACCCGACTTTGCAGGTCTTCAACAGGGCTAGAACGGGCAAGATACAAAAAGATATACAGAATCGTGGAAGTTACATAATATTCAGACACAAATTTATAAACAATGTGAATAAGCTTATTAAACATATAAACAGTAAGTACATTAAAATATAAACAGAGTAAACTAAGTAACACGGTCCTAAACCGAAATAAACAGATGGCAACAATTGCTGTAGTGTAGAAATAGTAGACATAAATGAATGTGGAGAAAGAAAAGAAAAAAGAAAACTAAATAAATAAGTAACAATTCCACAATTCTCTATCTTTTTGTATCTTGTCTGTTCTAGCCCTGAAAAAGACATGCAAAGTCGGGACGAAACGTTGGCTTTTAATAATAAAATAGTTTTACCACTATTTAGCCTATTTATGACCCCCACCCCGGACCATCTCCTTCATTTATAATGCAACGGTCAACTATTAAATATTCGGAGAGAAGAATAGTTGGGGTGATCAGTCAAATAACAAGGGAAAAATAAATGATACTGTTTATTTTGACATTAGCCGACGTTTCGACCTGAAGTTCAGAGGCCTAAGAAAAGAACCAGATAACAAGGTATGAGAAATATTATTCCCTATAATATAGGGAAATATATAGAATAATATTTCTAATATTATATATTCAATATTTCTTATTTTACGAAGTGTTGCTCAAAATTTTGGTCATACGTTTTAGAAAGACCAAGACAAAGACTGGATTGGCTAAGGCCGTTATTAGTATTGCATTTGGGCAGAACTAACTTAATGTAATTAAATATACTCAGAACATAACAAAAAAAGTTTTAAAAAAAATACATTTATAAACTTGTTTTCCAAAAACAGTGTGTTGACATAAAAAAAAAAAAAAAAAAAAAAAAAGAACCGCTACAGATATAACAATGCGACTACTCACTATTCCTGCGCGGGCGCTAGGGGGGAAGCTCCCAGGTGCAGTGTCGGACAGGCCGTGGGGCACAGCTTGAGCCTTGCCCTGGGCACGGTGAGCACGCTGCCGTCAATCCTGGTGGCCCTGTCTTCCCTGACCACGGACCCCTCCTCGAAGTGCCTGATGCAGACGACCGAACTCTTGCCGACGCTGTACTCCTGCCTCCCGATGGCCTTCAGCCACTGCCGCCTCCGGCCCGGGTCCCGCGGCAGGGTGAAGACCGACACGTTGAGGTCCGAGCGGCTGTAGTTGGTGGTGCACTTGGGCACGCAGCAGTGGGACGGCATCTCGACTGAGGAGATAAGGCGACGTCCCCCCTCACGTGGGTCTCAATTGGTGACGTCAGGGGAGGGGGGCGCTCCCTGATTGGACTCTCCCGGAGCCACAATGGGCCGGCCCATTACACGGCAGGTAGGTGACTGTCTTAGGCCCCATCTCTAATCCTCTGTCTTTGACCTCTCTTCAATGACTTTCTAGAGCAAAACAAAATTCCTAGTCGTACTAGAGGCGACACGCTACGCAACGTGACCGAGATCTGATAGATAGGCTGTTTATTAACACTTAGTCATCATATCTATCGCTAGACAAACTCAATTACATTAATTGAGGCGTTTGGTTTCAAAACCGGGTACATCCCTTTTTCAAAAAAAAAAAAGAAAAAATGTATTGTTATTCTGGGTGGCTACCAGACAGCTAAAGTAAAATTCCTTGACATTTCTCCATTTAATGATAGTTTTCTCTGACCAATATGTCCGGGGACACAAATATTGAAAATGTATAATTTTTAACTGACTTCTCATCCATATAACTACGACAATCAGCAATCAATCCACTGTTATAACTAACATCCATTCATTTAAATAACAAACATAATGTTTTAGAGGAAGCATTATTTTTAATTTGGAAAACTAAACTTTCATCTTACTGATCCGTAGGATCAGATCTGAACTTTGGGCTGAAACGTTGGCAAAAATAAAAAGCATTTATTTATTTTAACTTTTTATATTTGTTTACTTTCCAACCTATACTAGGTAAGGAAAGTATTGCAATCGGGTCAAATTTCCGACATGAGGTTTTCGACGGATCTATACGTTTCAGAGCACCCTGAGTCCAAAAAACACATTTTTAAATATTGCTTTGTCTGTCTGTCTGTCTGTGAAAGGTAATGAAATTCCATACAAAGCCGTATAAAAATCGTTCATTTTAGGCAACTATTAACGAAGTTACAGCTATTCAATTTCCAATGTAAGATTACAGGTTCATATCCTGCTGTCAGAAATGGGTGAATGAGAGAAAAAAGATGACTAAGTGAAAATAAGAAAATCTGTTGCCTGCATCACACAATCTTCACTATTTCCTCTACTTTTATCAGAAATTATTGTTTGACAATTTTTTTTTTTTTTTAAACTTTTATTATGATATTTACAACTGTATTAGTATGAATACATCAAGTAAATTTGTACAGAGAAATATTATTACATGAAACACGCTTGTTGAGAAACTGCCCACTGGTAGCACTCAATAATGGCAAAAAGGTTTGGATCAGCAATATTAGACAGTATTGAAATTTTTACACTGATCTGCCTTTAGCCGGTTTATATTGCTTTAGTTTATCAAATATCGTAAAATCGTACTAAAATCTTTGTAATCAATTTTCAGGAAAATGTATCTAGTTCAATTCTTTTTTGTTTCTTCATGAACATATGTAAAGATATAAAATGTTTTCTGAAATAGGTAGGAAAGTCGTGTGAGTGGACACACCAGATTTATTTACTGTAAACCCCAACCAACTTCTCTTCTATTAAACTTTTATTAATTCATTTGTATTGCCATTATTTTATTTTCATAAACTAAGAGGAAGTTTAAGTAACAGTAACATTATTGCTAGATCAAACTATTTATTTTATTTCTCTTGATACCGATAGCAGATGGAAAATATCAAAAACAAGAAACAAAACCATAAGCATAGTAAAATAACCATTTATATATTTATTATCACTATAGTTTTTGAAGTCTAAACGCACATTTCGTTTAAAAAAAAAAATGGTCGAATATAGCGACAGTCAGCTCTCGAAGAAGGCGATATCTAAACGAAATCCCCTGTATATTTATTTCCAATTTGAAGAAATGTTAACGTACTGAAAAATATTCCTGACTTTAACAATTTTCCCAGGTTTTCTAGATAGGTCGCCACCTTGTTATTTTTCATATATTATAAAGCCAGAAATGATGTATTAGATATTTTAGTTTCGAAACCGTCTAGATCTTTCAAAAATTAATACCAATAGATTCGATTTCCTATCAAACACCTGTTGTTGATAGTTAACCGTTTCATTCTTTATCAAAATCGTCTAAGTTTAGATGGTTTGAGCTTGAAATCCTTTCTTGAAATTAAATATTTGCCTTAATTTTAATCTTTTCATAATGGAAAAATCCTGATATTCAAATCAAATTCAGACACTTTCATCATATTTTTTATTTTTTAAAAAAGATAAAATCATAAAATATTGTCAATATAGTTGTTGTTGTTTGTTATGCGGTTTGTTACCAAAATCACGAAAATAATAACATTTAAAAAAATTGTTAAATTTATTTTTTTTAATAAAATCTTTTTCAATCATTCCTGAAAAAATTTAGAAATGGATATAACCTATTTTGAAACCAAACCCCTCAGTTGTACAGAACTTAAGAAATTGGAAAACCTTTTATATGAACAGGTTAATATTATATTCATTTCATTCAGTCGTTTTAAATTAAACCTGCACACATTTTAAATACTATTATTTTTTAATACTATCATTAAACCATAAAGAACTCGGAAATTAGGGTCCTTAACGAATAATTATTTCTCGGGACAAGACATAGATTCCCTTAACGGCTTTCAAGAGCAATGAATTTTAATGAATGGAGTATCGAACGAAAGGAATTTTCAAGGCGAAGTGACGAATCCCAATTTCAATCCTTAAATTCCTACAACTTAAATAAAAATTGAAAATTTTAAAAGTCAGATGGTACCAGAAGTCACAAGCTATTCAACAGAGGGAGGCTTTTGAGCTGAAGCCCCCCTCCCAACATGGTAAAATACAAGCATGTTTTATTAAAAGAATTATCTGTAAAAGTATGATTGTTCGTCTAGTTCCATTTAATTGTACTTAATTAATCACTGTAACACCATTTCACATAGATAGTTAGTTTCTTTCTTGTTAGCTTGTAATTATCCTAATATATACATACAAAAAAAAAAATCTTTCGGGCTGAAGCCCCCCATAATTAAATCCTGGATCCGTTAGAGCCAGAAGTTGATGGATCGAGGCAAGATAAATTTTGTTGAATATTTGAGAGAAAAGGATATCCATCTGTGAATTCTCATTGGGTGTACTAGTTTTAAATAAATATGTTGATTTTATTGTAATTTCATTCAATGGTTTCAGTTTTGTATATTAATTAAACAAGCATAAATTCTTAGTACAATATTATGATCATAACAATAATAGTAAAGCTGAAAGAACTAAAGAGTTTATGGGGATACCGATGTATAGAAAACAGTTCCTTAACAAGCACCAGAGTTGGGGACAGTCTTTTATCTTAGAATCGTTATACAAGGCTTAAAGGACAAGAAACTTTCTCTCCCTCTATATATGTATACATTATATATATACATATCCAAACATAATCTATGCCCAGTATTATCGAAAAGAGAAAAAAAAACAAAAAAACAGTGGACATCAATGTATTAAACCTGATATTAAACCGGTCACCATCTTGAAACAAAATTACATATACTAATGGTGTGTTCTAAAATTCTTCCTAGGGTAACCCGTGATAAAGAAATGAACTTAAAAGTATAAAGTCCCAGAAGTCACGGAGTGCCGCAGATGCATATTATTTTTCTCACTCTTCAACGATTTGATTATATAAATTACGATATGTACATATATGTCCATCATTATTTTTTATTTGAATGGATTATACAAATCTTAAAATATTAAGACCAATTTTGAGGGAGGAAGATTAATTTTTTTTTTGTCCAATACAGAGACCATTATTGAACATAACAAATCCTAGAACACGAATAGAACGTAATTTTTGTTTCAATTTTTGTTATTATTATTTCGTAACTTCTAACTTAAAAGTATTATTTATGATTCCAATTAAGTCGATATAAAAATCATTTTTATACGTAGCTACACAAATAACACATTTAGTGATGCCCCAATGCGAGACCAAGACGAGTCTCGCAAGTCTTGCAGTTACTTATTAGCTTATTACTATAGAGATAATACTGTAATTTTTTAGATAGGAGAAACTTAACTAAGCCCGAATGAAAAATTAGAGGATTTAAATGCAAACGAATATTCGTTTTACCAATTAGTGACATATAGTAACTAAGATTGTCAAGTATTAGTAACTATTTTGCCTTAATTTTTATTAACAAAATAGACTTTTTACCTGTCCTGGTCTTATTCTTGCAAGACCAAGACAGATTTTGGGCAACACTAGACACATTAGAATCAATGCGTTAATTTTAAATTATAGCTCTAATCTAATCCAAATTACTGTTTACTTTTTTTATATTAAGAACTCAAATAATTAAAAATTAAACTTTTATCATACATCTAGAACTCTATTATATATATATAAAAAAAAAGCTTAGAACTTTTATTTTTTAAAGTTTTTTTTCCTTAAAAGTTTCACAGAAACTGTTAAAATAGTACTTTCGGAAACAAAGATTCAGGCTTCACTGGAAGTATGTATTCGTTCGGTTAATCTCTTGTAAAAGTAGTCATCAACCAAAATTAGATAAACTACAATTGAAATTAAAGTTGAAGATTCTCTTATATTCTCCTATTTTTGACAATCATACAAATTTCCTAACATATTCGCGAATTTCTTGACTAGTTGGCACTCTGATCTTACTTTGGTTATTCCTGATGCTGGAAAATCATCTCTAAAGCAGTAGAAAATGGATGATAAAAAAAATTAAATTTACAGGTTTGGGTTCGATGTTAAGATACCGTAGGGTCTTGATATTCGTTTCAGGATCATTAAAATTCCAGTTATTCAATCCTTTTCCGCAAACTTAATATTGTCGGAGTTCTAATAATATTAACATTTTCAATATTTTTATTACATAATCTAAAAAGGAATTCGTCACTTATCCATGAAAATTCCTTACTTCTGATGCCTCATTTATTAAATTATATCGTTCCTGAATACCGAAAAAGCGACTGAAATCAATGTAAAAATTTATTTATTATTAAAACAAATATTCAATTCCGATAGGTTCATCCCGCGATAGTGCAAAACGAGACACTACAATACGCCTACTTTTCAAAACCATTAAAAATTATTACGTTAAAAATATTACTGAACCATTATGTTAAGTACGTTAATAACAAAATCTTGCAGATTGACTTAACACATTCCGATCGTAA